CTTCTGCCATGATTGTGAGGCCTCCCAGCCATGGGAAACTGAATCATTCAACCTCTTTTTCTTTATAAATTACCCAGTCTTGGGTATTTCTTCATAGCAGTATGAAAATGGACTAATACAATAGATAAGCATACATTTAGATATTTTCAGAAGTAAACCCGCTGAGAGACTTGATTACCAACAGGAGCTTCTTAAGTGTAAATTACAAGGGTTTAAAAATATAGTTCAATAGAATGAATAAGATCTGGTATTTGATAGCACAACAGGTGACTGTAGTTCACAATAATTTATTGTACATTTTAAAATAACTAAAAGTATAATTGGATTTTATGTAATACAAAGAAGAGATAAATGCTTGAGGTGATGGATACCCCATTTACTCTGATGTGATGAGTGTACACTGAATTCCTGTATCAAACTATTTCATGTACCCCATAAATATATACACCTGTGTATTATAGAAATTAAAAATAAAGAAATTTTAAATAAAAAAATTCACCAAAAACAACAAAATAAACTACAAGAAGAAAGAAAAGATTTCTTATATGAAAGTCTGAGAATCAACGTGAAACAATAATAGATATGGTATGGGAAATCAGAGCATGGTAGATAAGAGGTGAGTCACAACCACAGTGTAAAATATTAAATTTAGGCAGATATCTGTAATTTGAAAATTGGAATTTGGAAGCAGTGTCCTCTATTCTACATGTATGCTGATTAGGATCAGCTGAGATCCCTCCACTCTGACATTATCCTCCCTAAATACGTGAAATGCAGACTTTTAACACAAATTTTTAAAATTTTTTTCTGATGTTCAGAGACAGCCTTTCCACTGTTCACGTTTCACTTCATGTGAGTGGTAAGAACAATAATGATCATTATCATTCTTTTCTTTTTGTTTTTAACCTAACCTGAGTCAATTCTCTCTGCCTTCTATTTTTGTAAAATATAGACACTAGAAGACACCATCCCAACTGAATTTAGACAATGTTATTGTAAATTTCAAAAATAAAATAAAATAAAACTGAAAAAAAAAGCTACTGCTCTCACCTTAATCTGAATGAATGTGAATACACAATACAATAAACAAACATTTCTGCCTTAGACCGCAGGAATACAAATTAACAAACTGCTAGACAAGACCATTATTCTGCTAGATGGAGAGTGAGGAAAGTCTAAAAGAGGCAAGGAATGGTATCACCTCACTGTTTTCTCAACTTAAAAATCCTTTTTCTACTCCAGATCTCCGCTCAGGCCTCATTTTAGGATTCCCTGAGAATTGTTCCTTTCTTGTAGAATGCCCAGAATCAGGTGATAATCCAATGTCTGCATTACTCAGTGACAGTTTAGTACCTACTTTCTATCAAAGAAACAAGACAAATAACAAAAGACAAAAAAAAAAAAAAAAAGAACTCAGTTTGATCCCCTGCTCTATCTTAATACTGTGTGACTTGGGCTAATTATATCACCTCTCTGGGCCTCAGTTTCCTAATAAGTAAAATAGGGATGATAAGAGGATTGTTGTAAGAATGGAATGACACATAGCAAGGGTCAATGAGAACTATTATTACAGCTATTATAATTATTAAGAAATAATAAGACAGGGCTGGATGTGGTGGCTCATGACTGTAATCCCAGCACTTTGGGAGGCTGAGGCAGGTGGATCACTTGAGCCAAGGAGTTTGAGAGCAGACTAAGTGACATAGTAAGACCCTACCTCTAAAAAAAAAAAAATTAGAAAAATTAGCCAGGCATGTTGGCACGCACGTGTAGTCCCAGCTACTCAGGAGGCTGAGGTGGGAAGATGGCTTGAGCCTGGGAGGGTGAGGCTACAGTGAGCCATGATTGCACCACTGCACTCCAGCCTGGGCAACCAAGCAAGACCTTGTCTCAAAAAAAGAGAAAGAGATAGTGAGACAGAGTTTATGTGAAGACTTTCATGGGTGGGAGCATCAACTGAGTTTTGAAGGATGAGAGGGCATTCATCACAGAGGTGAGCTGAGTGTTGGGGACCAGCCGGAGGGAGCCATGAACAAACACAATGTGGGGGACAGGAGAGGATGGCAAGAGGGTGGCAGTGGCTGAAGAGAAGGTATGTGAGGGACAGTCATGGGAGGTGAAACCAGGTCACCATGTGAAGGCTTTGAACGTCCAGACCCTGGGTGGTGATGAGCAAAGGAAGAAATCTAAGCAGGAAAATGACACAGAGAAACTTCCTACTAAGAATCCTTCTAATAATAGAGATTAATGCAGAGAAAACCTGAGGGTAGGGAGACCAGCGAGGAAACATTTTTGATGGTCTCACCCCAGGCCTGGGAGCACAGGTAGCTCTCATGGGCAGCCTAAGTGTCCCAGCTCCCAGAGAGGCAGTAAAACTGTGAAAAGATTATGCAGCTCCTGTCTCTGAAGTGGGCTGAAAAATACGTTGTGAACCTAAATATACATCAACAGATGAAGGGATAAAGAAAGTTTGCATATACACACAATGGAATACTATTTGGCCACAAAAAAAGCATGAAGTTCTGTCATTTGTGGCAACATAGATGAGCATGATGTTAATTGAAACAAACCAGATACAGAAAGATAAATATTACTTGTTCTCACTCTTATGTGGAAGCTTAAAAATGTGGATCTCATTGAAGTAGAGAGTAGAATTGTGTTTATCAGAGACTGGGAAGGGTAAGTGGGAAAGGAGAATACAGAGAAGCTGGTTAACAGATACAAAATCACAGCTAGATAGGGGGAGTAAGTTCTAGTGTTCCATAGCTTTGTAGGGTGACTGTAGTTAACAATCATTTATTGTGTATTTTCTTTTTTCTTTTTTTTTTTTTTTTTTTTGAGACAGAGTCTTGCTCTATCGCTCAGGCTAGAGTGGAGTGGTGCGAACTCAACTAACTGCAACCTCCGCCTTCCAGGTTCAAGTGATTCTCCTGCCTCAGCCTCCCAAGTAGCTGGGATTATAGCCACCATGCCTGGCTCAATTTTCATATTTAGTAGAGACAAGGTTTCACCATGTTGACCAGCTGGTCTCAAACTCCTGACCTCATGGTGATCCACCCGCCTTGGCCTCCCAAAGTGCTGGGATTACAGGGGTGAGCCACCCACACCCAGTCTATTGTGTCTTTTCGATTAGCTAGAAAGAGGACTTTGAATGTTTCCAACACAAAGAAATGATAAATGTTTGAGGTGATGGATATGCTAATTACCCTGATTTGATGGTTACACTTTCTATACGTGTATTGAACTATCACGTTGTACACCATAAATATGTGCAATTATTATTTGTGAATTAAAAATAATTTTTTTAAAGAAATGGATTATCAGCCAGAGTAGGATCCAATACCAGGCACAACCCTAACATTTGAAGGTTCCGGGGCAAGAAGGCAAATGAAGGCTACTGTGTCATGTCATTTGTCTGCATGCTTAAATGTTTTAATCAAGCTAATAAAAAGAATACATAAAAGATATCTAGCTTCGTTTACAAGATAGCCCTTCATAATGACCTGAAAGGTCAGGTTTGAATTTATAATTCTCTGATTCCTCAGAACTCCATGCAGGAACATGGCATTCCGAGGGGAGCCTGCCCAGCCCACAGCTCACCTCTCTTCTCACCCATCCCCAGCTCTGCCCACAGACCCTGCAAACAAGAGCATCCCTTGATGCTTCTCCTGCCTAGGGGTTGGCACCCAGTGGGCCCAACCCTCCAAGGATGGACCTTGAGGAAAGGCCCCTGCAGCTCCTTGAAGCAGGCACAAGGTTTCTCTGGGCAGGCAATCCCAGGACCCAGCTATTCAAAGCATGGCCCAGAAAGGGAGGAGGGTAGGCAAAGGCTCCTCGTGGGCATATTCCCCTTGCCCCCAGCAACTCCTCACCGCATGAGGAGGGACTTAGCCAGAGGAGGCCCAGAGTCAGATCGAGATCAGAGGAGAGGCCCCTCTTTCCAGAGTCTAAGAGCGGAAATATTGAGCTGAGAGCAAATAGTCTTCCTGGACGATAGTGAACTCCTTCTGTCTGTCTCTATGCCATGCATCACGCTTTATCGAGCACTCTTGGTCCTTGGCCTCACTGCAGAGGACGCAGTTCAGGGGTGAACAGCTGTGTTGGTTAAATGGGGCCCAGAGAATAGGACTTGAGATAATGAAGCCTGGGAAGACACCCAGATCCTCTAGGTTCCCAATCAGGATTCTTAAATGTTCCCCACGAGTGAGTCTTCTCCCGGGCTGAAGTACCAGTTCAGATGAGTCAGGCTTCTGTCTCCCTCAGAGTCTAACACCGTTAGAAGGCACACAGCTCATATTTCATAAATCCTTGAATAAATCAATGAACAATAGCTGATGACATTTGTTGAGTGCTTACCTTTGCATTAGTATGTCATTTCATCCTTACTGCAATCCTGAAACAGATTCTACTATTACTCTTATTTACAGAGGAGGAAGATAAAGTTCTGTGAGGTTTATATGCAGAGTCTGCCAGTAGAAAGTGGCAGAGCTGAGGTGAACATGAGTGAATGGATCGATGAAAGAATGGAAAAAATGAATAATGAACAAATTCATATATAAGTAAGCAAATCATGTGCTTTATCTTTTTTTAGTACTTAGACACCTTCTAACCCCTGGGGCTGGGCCTCCTGAGCACTAGAAAGCATCAGCTGGTTTCTCTAGAACCCCAAGGATTTGGGTTATATTCAGCCCCATCCACCCTCAGCCCATTCACTCTCAAAATGGACTAACTCTCCCAGCCTAAGGATTCTCCCACTCTCTAGGCATCTGCTATGCCTTTAAATCTCTCAGCTCCCACCATGTTCTCCCCACTCCACTCCTGACTCAATAGCCTCTCCTGCAGTTGGTAGATGGGGAATCATCTTCAAGACTGTAGTGATCACACCATCGCTATGACCCAGCCCTAGTGACTTCTCTCGACTACCTCTTCACCTCCCCTACCATCCCCCCACCCTCAATCCATTTGGGGTATCGTTCCTTATGACTGACAGACACCAGAAATAAATTTGTGAGTTTTAATTAAATGTGGAGCCTAAACAATCTGAAACAAAGTCATTTCTATCCATTATGTATATTTCTCTTCGGTTGTGGAGCTGTTGTGGACATCCGAGGAGTGGTCCAGCCAAGGATTCCATGAATTGTTACTGGTTGGATTGTTAAATAACGACTAGGGACACAGCACCGTTTACGATTTCGGCAGCGTATGATGCTGTCTTCACCATCTTTGCACAACAACCGGCAGTGTCCATCCATCCAACACTCTACTTTGGGGCATTCGAACAACAATTAAGCAGATGTTAGTATCCCTCAAGTGGAGAGAAAAGAGAAGGCAGAGGAGGAACAGGAAGACAGGGAAGAAGAGAAGAAAGCCAGTTAAGTGAGTAATGCTAGACCCAGTCCCAGGAAAAGAGAGAAGAGACCTTGAGAGGGAAGAGAACTGAGACAATGGTTCCAACTGAGAACTCCGAAGTTTTCGGGGGAGCCTTTTTTGGACTTCTCACCCTTCTGTCTTCCTATCCCCAACTTCCTATTCCTTACTTTGGAATCAACTGAAGCTAATTAATGTCCCACCTAGCAGAGCTAGGAGTGAAGGTAAAAGGACATGAAAACCTGTAATATTAGGGAAAAGAGGATTCACTCACATTACACAGACCCGGTGTCTTATCAATAACCTGACCCTGTTTAACATAAGCCAAACAAGCCTCAGCTCCAGCCGCAGCTCAATCTCCAATCTTCCTTGACCCTATATTAACCCAATTCAAACTCAAACTCATTCAGGCCTACCTTAATTAGAACTCCCAGCCTTACTCAACTCAATGCCCCTAAGCCCCAACTCCAGGTCAAACCCTAATCTAATCCAATCTAACCCTAATCTAATCAAGTCACTAACCTCAATTCCCAGCAGTATCCCATCACCAAGCTGAACCCAAACACCCTGCAGCATCCAGCACTGACTCCCAGCCTCAGCCCAAGCCCCAGTCTAATCCCCGACACCAGCTCCACTCAACCCCAAATCCCATCCTCTCTCCAACTCTGCCCTAAACCTTCAGGGAAGCCCAGCTCCTCACCTCCTGCTCATCCTGACATTCCTTCTATCACCCCAATCCCAAGGTTTTTCCTCCACATCACAACTCACCCCAACCTCCACTCTAGTCTCCCAAAGCCCTCAATAAGTCCCCAACTTGCACCCATGCTTTGCCCCTCAAACCTCTCCCAAGCTCCCACCAGGATACCACCCTGGCCCTCAAGTGCCAGATGCTCCAAACGTCTATCATCCCACCACTCTGGCAAAAAAGAATCAGAGAGAGATATTAACCTGAGATGATCCTGGGGAAACTTCCCAAAGTTGCAGGAGAGAAGGAAAGGCTTTACATGATGCCCACAGTGAGAGAGGAGGGAAAGATGGGAAGTCCATGACCAGGAGCCCAGACCCCTGAGAGAGGCTCACGTTACCTGATATCACTGGTACTTCTGTGGCCAGAAGGATGGCAAGAAACAAGAAAAGAAATTTCATGGCTGGCAGACCTGAGAGGAGGAGGCGCCTGAGCTGCAGGGGAAGGAAACAGGGTTCCCTGCAGCAGCGCAGAGATGAGCTTTGCTTTTATCAGCAGGGCTGTGGGCAGTGAATTAGAACAGGAGGGGATTTATATGAGGTCATCCAGGCCAAAGGACAGTGTGTAGCAGATGTCTCAGCAAAGCACAAGATGAGAGTGTGGGAAACTGGCCAGTACCAGTGCCAGTAAAGGGACAGGCCAATTAAAGCCATTTGGCCTTTGAGAGCCACAAAGGAATTAATTAATACATAATAAATATATATCAAGAAATATTTAACTTAAAAATTACTTTGGCCGGGCGCGGTGGCTCAAGCCTGTAATCCCAGCACTGTGGGAGGCCGAGATGGGCGGATCACGAGGTCAGGAGATCGAGACCATCCTGGCTAACACGGTGAAACCCCGTCTCTACTAAAAAATACAAAAAACTAGCCGGGCGCGGTGGCGGGCGCCTGTAGTCCCAGCTACTCCGGAGGCTGAGGCAGGAGAATGGCGTGAACCCGGGAGGCGGAGCTTGCAGTGAGCTGAGATCTGGCCACTGCACTCCAGCCTGGGCGGCAGAGCGAGACTCCGTCTCAAAAAAAAAAAAAAAAAAAAAAAAAAATTACTTTGCATTTCTCTGATAAATAGTAAGAACATTTATTCAACACTGGTCTTTTTATTTCTTCGTTTTGAATTATTCAGTCAGATATCTGGACAATTCTATTGGGGTGTTGTTGTATACTTGCTGATTTGCAAGAACTCTTCAGTGCTGTTATTATATCAACTGTCTTGTCATGCTTGGTGACAATATTGTTCTCCATGATTATGTTCTGTTTTAAAATATATTTTTTGCCTATAAATGTTTAAATCATATTTAAATCTTAAAAACTAAATAAACAGGCCGGGTGTGGTGGCTCACACCTGTAATCCCAGCACTTTGGGAGTCCAAGACGGGGAGATCACAAGGTCAGGAGTTCGAGACCAGCCCGGCCAACATGGTGAAATCCCATCTCTACTAAAAATATAAAAATTTGCTGGGCATGGTGACGGGTGCCTGTAATCCCAGCTACTAGGGAGGCTGAGGCAGGATAATTGCTTGAACCTGGGAGGCAGAGGTTGCAATGAGCTGAGATTGTACTATTGCACTATAGCCTGGGTGACAGAGTAAAACTCCACCTCGACAATACAAATAAAAAGTTTTTAAAAAATAAATTAAACAAGAATTACTTATTCTCTGCTTTCTAACAGAAGGATACACATGTGTAATGTCTTTCGGGACTCTGAACTTGCCAATCTTGTTTCCAGTTCAGGGCCTTAGCAGTTGTCATCTGCTCTCCCTGTAAAGCTCTTTCTCCAAATCTTCCCACGAAAATCTCCTGCTCATCATTCCATATCATCCCAAATGTCACCTTCTTGGAGAGGCTTTCCCTGGTCACCTTAGGTAACGATATTCCAACCCTCAGTCACTCTGGACTGTAATAACTTGGTTTATTATCTTCATATATGTATCCATTCTTTCAAATTTTATTTTACATATTTGATCTTTGTCTCTCCACTTAGAATGTCAGAAACCTGGCTTATAACCCCAGTACCCATAACATCACCTGGTGTATTAAAATACTTATTCAACTGTTTTAACTGATATTCCCCCCAAACAAGAATGACTCCAAAAGACAGACATGGATTTCTTTTTTATGTAAAAGTCTGGGTATGCGGTTAAGTGTGACAGCTTCACCATTCAGCAGGGAGCTAGGTTCCTTTTGGCTTGACGCTCTGCCATCCTCATGAAGAGGCTGCTTTGTGTGATGACCATGAGCTGCTCCAGTTCCCACCGTCAAGTTCCCATCCAGTCATCAGGAAAGGAGGAATGATGGAAGTGAAATGCAACACCCTTCCTTTTAAGGACACCACTCAGAAGTTGCACCCTTCAGCTTGGCACCGTGGCTCACACCTGTAATCCCAGCACTTTGGGAGGCCAAGATCGATGGATCACTTGAGGTAGGATTTTGAGACCAGCCTGGCCAACCTGATGAAATCTGTCTCTACTAAAAATACAAAAAAAAAATAAATAAACTTAGCCAGGCGTGGTGGTGGGCGCCTGTAATCCCAGCTACTCAGGAGCCTGAGGCAGGAGAATGTCTTGAATCCAGGAGGTGGAGGGTGCAGTGAGCTGAGATTGCACCATTGTACTCCAGCCTAGGCAACAGGGTGAGACACTGTCTCTCCAAAAAATAATAATAATAAGTTACACCCTTTGCTTCCAATTCTGGCCACCTCCCAAAGCTCATTCAGACCATCATGCCCAGCTGCAAGGGAGGCTGGAAATACTTTCTTTATTCTAGGCAACCATTTCTAGCTAAAATGTACGGGTTGTTTTACTAAGAAAGGAAAGAGATACACGGGGGGGTGGAGTTCTAGCAATCTTGGACATACCTGGCATTAAATATTAAATAATATTTAATAAATATCTGTAGGCAATAAATAATAAATATAACTCACTTTAATAAATAATTCTAGATAAGAAATAACTTATACATTGAATAAGTATATGTTATTCTATGAGAAGTGATCTAGTGGGAAGGCTATGAGAAGTGATCTAGTGGGAAGGCTATGAGAAGTGATCTAGTGGGAAGGAAACCCAAGTCCCTGTAACTCCAGGGCTTTGGGAGGCTGAGAGGGGAAACTGCTTGAGCCCAGGAGTTCCAGGCCAGCCTGGGCAACATATGTGACCTCCTCACTACAAAAAAAATTTTTTTAATTAGCCAGGTGTGGTGGTACACACCTGTAGTCCCTGCTACTCAGGGGGTCAAGATGGGAGGATCGATTAAGTCTTGGAGTTCAAGGCTGCAAAATGTTCAGTTGTTTTTCTGCCTCTCCCGCAGCTAGAATATGAACACGTGGGTAGGTTCAGCCAATCAGATGACTCCATCCTATTTTTTGAATCAGGTGCTCATGATTCCAGGAAGAAGGAACAGTAGAGAATTTATCTTAGCAAAGGAGCCTGTCATGATGTCCAGTGTCCAAGGGCAATAGGGAAGCCGGGCAAATAGGGGTAGAGTTTAGGGTCCTGAGCAACAGTGTTTGGTGGCAGCTGTGTCCTCACTAGACTGGGTCCATGGGGTGATTTTTCACTCTGGGTCCTCCTACCCTTCCTCCCTGATTGCTACCCGTTTTCTAAGCCTTGCTCTAGGAATTCTCTGAACTTCCAAACAGCCAAAAGATGCCCTTTGCTAAACACCCTTATGGATGCAGTGACCACGGGCAAGTTGTTCAACCAGTTTTGGAGATAGTAATACTGGCTCATGGTTTGTTGTGACCTTTAAGTGATAAGTGCCTATCTGGAGTTCAAAACAGTGCCTGGCAGGTAGGAAGTGCTCAATACATTTTAGTTACAATTTCTTTGTTTCGAGGTAAGGGAGGAGGGAATTTAGAGCCTTGAGCGCTTCTGACCTCAACAGCCTCAGTGAAAACGAAGCCTAGTTTCTCTGCTGTGTTGGGGATTAGGTCTTGGAGAAAATGGGCAGGATCTTGAGAAGCCCCTGTCGGGCACGGAGGAGATACACTGGGCAGAGGAGGACCTGTGATCAGGGCTGGATGGCCCAATAGGAGGACTGAGCACCTGCCCAGGCTCCGGGCACTGACAAGGCATGGGCAAAATAAAAGGCAGAAAATCTAAAGAACCCCCTTCAACTTCAGCAGATAGGAATGTTTTGCATCATTTCACAGAAGTAAAATTGTATTTCAGAGTTGAGTGTTGTTTTATTTTGAATTCCACTGGGAGCGCTGTAAACTTCTTGGTGTTTAACGTCACTAAAGGTGTTCGTGAGGACTTGCTTGCTGTGTGACGGAGCTGACCAGGATGAGGAAATTTGGGGGTGCTATCCAGCAGTGTGATGAACACACCAGGCATGCAATTTGGTCCAAGACTGAGCAACTTATCATGTGTCCTTGACGTGTCATGCAACATCTACAAGGCTCAGTATTGAAATGATACATCATAGGAGAGGGGTTACAAGTCTATATTCTGGAGTTAGTCTCCTGGCTGTGTTAACTTATAAAAGTTACTTAAAGCTGGGCGCAGTGGCTCACGCCTGTAATCCCAGCAATTTGAAAGGTTGAGGTAGGCGGATCATTTGAGGCCAGCTGTTTGAGACCAACCTGGCCAACATGGCGAAACCCAATCTCTACTAAAAAATACAAAAATTATCCAGGTGTGGTGGGACATGCTTGTAATCCCAGCTATTCAGGAAGCTGAGGCAGGAGAGTTGCTTAAATTCTGAAGGCAGAAGTTGTAGTGAGCAGAGATCACACCACTGCACTCCAGCCTGGACAAAAGTGTGAGACTCTATCTCAAAACAAACAAAAAAAAAGTTAGTTAACCTCTCTGAACCTCAGTTTCTTCTGCTATAAAATGGGGATAATAATATTTCATAGGGTTGATGTCAGGATTAAATGAGTGTAATCACATAAGGCACTTCAAACAATACCTGATATTTGACTTCAATATAGATATCTGGTGTTATTATTGTACTAGAACAAAGTTCCCAACCTGGAGGTTCCAGGCATTTCCTCACTATAGCTCTTTTCAATATTTCATAAGCCTTCTTAGGAATCCCTGTTTGCAAAGGACTGCCCAGGGAGTACTGTGATGACTCAGAAAAATGGCCTTGACCAACATAAGGAGAAATTGAAAAGGATGATTTAATTGCTATAGAACATTTACATTTCAGTAGCTGCGTTTATATTTGTGTTGTATTTTGTTTATGTGTACTTACATGTATATGTGTAGATTTGTAATTTTATGTATTTTCTGCATATTCTATGTATGTTTATATGTATTTTGTGTGAGTACTTGAATGTGTATGTGTACATACATTGATTCTTGCATTAGTTTGCATGTAGACATGTAGAACATGTGTTTCTGTGTTGTTTAGTATCTGTGTACATGTGCATCTGTTCTCAGATCTCCAAATGCCATAGCCTGAGCTCCAGTCAGCTCAGTCCCTTTGTTCCTCTCAGGTCTCTACATCCTGTGACTCTGGAACATGACAGTTGTTTGGTGATTCTTCTATTCAGCTGGGAGATCTGGGCCAAGGCTAAGGGAAGTGCAGGGAGCATCGTGGCCAAGAAGCAGAGGCCACTAGG